CCTTATTCACCATTGATTTGATAATCACCCTTAGCACAAACACTTTAAATAACGAACCTATTTAAAATAAACTTAAATATAAGCAACACGATTGCAAAGCTTTCATGTTCCTGGACTACTGACTGCCCCCCACCTCTTTAAAAATAGTAGTGTCTCTCAGGGAAGCCAGATGCAGTCACATTCCTCTCTGAATTCAGTGCTTGATTAAATCATAAGCAAATCAGCAAACTATGATGAGCAAACCACCCTCTATACCAAATGATGTTAAAATCATCAAAGCAATGTCAAAAATTAGAATCTCAAAGCCTGACTGAGCCCAGTAATTTCTAAGCATGTATGCATTGTTGATTAATGCATCATATAGAACCATAAAAATTAGACCAAAGCATATGACTCATTAAAGTCTGCTGGCTGAAACTGCTGGTTGATTACATTCATATTCTGGGGATCATGAACAGATTTATGGTAGCTGATTCTAACTCTGGTTTTGAGGGATAATATTACAACCTTATTGGGTCAGGTAATGAATACCAAAACACAGGCACTGGCATCAAAGTGTATCAACATATATCAACATCAATAGAGATACATAAAAAGTATGTTTTAATCAACAGAAGTACATGAAGTCAGTATAAAAAACTAGCCAACTGCTGGTAGAAAATACCCCTGCACAGGTTACAATGAGTTATGTATATGGCTTTATGACAGCTGCCTTTCAGTCAATAGACCTTGAAGAAATTACACTAGAATAATATATATTCAGATCTATATTCTGTATATTTTCAATTTGCTGCAAAACTTGAATTTCACTATAATCAAACTATAATCTCCAAAACCAAACAATCCAGTGAAGTTTTACCATGTCTGTAGCTATTAGGAATTCCACGTATAAAGATCTCTGGAAAAGGAAAGTATAAATACAAAAATTTGGCAGAACGTGCAATATAAGTAGACTGCTGGCTTATTTGCCAAGTTAGTCAGGTTTGGTACAATGCTAGGTAATAAAAGGACACCATAATCTGCACATGATATTTCATATGCAAATTTATGACATATGAATCCCAGTAGATCAATAGAGCCCCAGTCTACTCAAGGAATATTAGCATGGTTTTACAGACAGACAAACTGAGGAACCCTGCAGTTCGGTGACTGCTGCAGATCAAACAAGCAGATGCCAAGAGCAGAAATATAACACAAGATTTGCTGTGCTCCTTTCCCTAAAGAGAATAGGAAAAAAAACCCAAACAGAACAACATCCAACGCTTATTAAAAAGCTAAACTCTGAACTACTTTATTGTTGTTTCTTTCTCTTCTCAATGCAAACTCTTACTTTCACTCTTCCATTACATACTCATATTCACATAGAAAACATATATTCCTCTATCACAACATTTCACACAGCTGCATTTGTTCACCAGCTCTTTGATGCACTGCATCAAAGCAGTGGCTGGGTGAGAAGCTTTTTTTCATCTAAGGCCATGTTTTGAATGGTTGGTTGGGATACTTTAGGGATGTCCCTGCTAAAGAACAATCACTAGAACCTCACCACAAAAATAATAAATATATTATATTAAAGTGCTGTATATATTTATTATTTAAAATAGTCACATCTAACTTCAGGTCAACTGCTGCATATTATTAAAGCATTATAATATAACTACTAATATTTTTTCACCCCATTTTCTGTATTTTTCTTTTTTTAACTAAAAACCCTACACATTTGTTCAAACAAAAAAATCAAACCATATTCCTTTATTCAAGAGCAGTCCTTTAATACGTGCTTCAACTGAGACAGATCCATTAATGTATTCTACCATCTACTTCCTACCTATTTGCTTCCACCTTGCTGTTTCTAGTATTATCCCTTTGGTTTTATATTTAACATATTAGACAATATTTCTTCTGGTTTTGTTTGGTTGGGTTTTTTTAAATGTATATAAACAATTTCTAATAGGAAATACTTGTTTAAATCAGGCATTTAATTTTCTTCAAGAACCAGATCCACAGTACCCAGGAAGAGAGGAGTCCTGATCTGATGCATGCTTTTAGCTGCTTTCACGATGCCACTCTCTTGCTTATTCAGTGCCCTTGCAAGGTGTGAACTGAACAGACGCTTCCTGCAGGACCATGGCCTGTGTTACTTGCTCCTTTGCTGAAAAACACCCTTACAAACATCAGCAAGGAAATGATTTGATGTGATATTTCTTTGCGTTCAAAGCTTGCGAACAATTAATTACTTAAATAGCAAGAAAAATATACCAGAAAGATATTTCTTAAATTAACTTATTGTAAAATGACAATATACACATTAGCTCTTACAAGTGTGGATGCTCTTGTATTTTGGATCCAAATATTTGTCTGTGCACGTGTAAAAGGGGAACCCGTTGCCCATTGTGGACTCGGGTGTAGGTGTGTGTGCAACCCCTTAAGTGTTCTGTGCTTGCATTTTTGTGCTTATATGTGTATGTATGGATTTAGGATACCTTATAGTAAGTTAGTGTGAGTCTTCCCATCTTCAACTCTGTAATTAAGTCACTGTTCAATTATTTTGTTAAATCATCTTGTAAATCTTTAAATCGATTAATTATTAAGTGCTGCTAAAACTTAACTCTTGATCTACCTCAAATTTGCTACTAAATCATAGCTGTGTCAAATATTTCCATCCATGACAACATACCATCCTGAATGAAGGAAGCAGCAGCATGGGATAAAAAGCTACATCAATACACATCTTGATCCTCCTGTTTTTAGTGAATGCTTTTAATCCTATGTGGCTGGTCAATTGCAATCTGCCACCGCTAGAGATTATGTCGTTCTGGAGATGACAAAATATTCTTAGCAGTGACATCTGGAGCTTTGAAGAGAATCAAAGAATAGGTGTTTTCTAAACATCCCCCGAGTTAATGAAGCTGAAGTGCAACATCATGGTTTTCATCTTAAGTCACTGGTGGCAGCAAATCTTGTGCGTCGCCAGTGCAACTTTTTGTCTTCTGAGACACAATGCCTCCTACAGTTCTCCAGAAGAACTGCAGCTCTGCACAGTTACATACCTATGAACAGATATGTAAAAATATATGTACGTTGGCTCAGAAGACCATGAACTCTTTTTACAAACATGGATACTGTCTTTGTAATCTTTTCATGCTTTAAAAATAATGAAATACGGGAAGAAATTCTGCATTCCCTTTCAAAACCCGTGTTCTGCACTGGCATTGATATCAGCTTGACTTGACTGGCTACCTGAACTAAGAACAATATATTTAGGCAGGGGAAGAGACTCAAGAATGCTATCTGCCTGGCTGCCAGATCCTCCTGCCAGAGCTATCTGTTTGAGAGACATCATAAGTTGTTCCATTACATTCTAGTTTTCCAAATTAAAGTGAGTAGAATTTATTTACTTGTTTATTTATTTTAGCATTTTATTGGTGTGCAGTTTGCAAAAAAAGAAATTCCTACAACTGGGGAAATAGATTAAGGCTTTTTCTTTCAGGCCTGAAAAAAGATAGCAGTCATTCAGTGCACCCCTGAACTCTGAAGAACTGAGGCAACACCCCTGGAGCTTTGATTTTTGCTATTATTTGGTCCAAGTCAGCTTCTCTTCCATGTCTGAGTAGCCCAGGGAAAGCCAAATTCTCCTCTTGTGGTTGACATCAATGGAGTGATTCTTAAGTAACACCAATGACAGTGTGAATGTAAATAGTATTTAATGTTAACTTTAGTTAATAGGAGAGGATTCTTCAGACAGGATCCAAGATCTCCAGCCCTGTTTTAGTTGTCTTTCCATCAGTTAAACAATTCACACAGTACACAAATGTCACGGTTTAGGCCAAATCAGCTACTGGGAACCTGGTGGACCCCAGATGGGACCGACAGATGCTCCCCTCTTCAAAGACAGAGGCAGAGGAGGGAAATATTCTCAAAAAAAAGCTTTCCTTGATGTATACAGCATAAGGAAAGGTTAGGGGATTTTTATATGGAGGGACATTTCTTTTCCTAACATAGAATTTTTTGCTGATTTTTGCTAATTTCAATATTTTGCTAATATTGAAAGGACTGTTGCCCTTTTCCGTATGATCTGACTGTACCAAGAGGAGTGTGGCTCATCCTAGATCCAATCCTTAAAGCCACGGGTGGGTGCCCCTTGACCTCTTCTTCACCAAACCAAACAAGCTCGGCTCTCCTTTGGAAGTTAGTGCCCTGAGACCACCGTAGTAGTCTTTCACGGAACCATCTCCAATGTATCCACTTCCCTCTCGAACCAGGGGATCCAGCACTGGACACAGAATACAAGATGCAGTCTCACCAGTGCCGAGCAGCGAGAGAATCACACTGCCCTTGCTCTACTGGCCACTTTCCCTTTAATGTAGATAACTATACAGTTTGCCTTTTATGCAGTGAGAAAGCACGATGAGTCACATTCAACCTAGCTCCACCCCCACCCAGTAACCCACCAGATGCTTTCCAGCAGGACTGCTACGCAATTTCTTAGTCTGTACCCATGTACAGGATTATCCCACCTCAACTGCAGACATTTGGACTTCATTCAAGCTAATGACAAAGCTGGCAATAGCTCTGAATATTCTGAGGGCCAGCACAGTATTACTGCCACGCTCAGCAAGTAGCAAAGCGGCCTCAACCACAGCTGCTATTATTGGAAATCTCAAGTAACAAATGCTTCCCTTTCCATTTTCTCTTCAGCACCACTCCACTCCATTTGTAATACTTGGTGACCTTCACATGTACATAAATATACCTTATATATTTAGATTCAGGAGACGCTTTTGACATCTCCTGGCTTTCTTGTATATGCACTTCTACTACCATGACATTTGCTTCGTGACAGTACTCTTTTTCTTGAGATCTGACAAAACAGGGGATCAGAAAGACGTTCCCAAGCTCAGTTGCAATGGCCAACTCCTACCCTGAGGTAACCACAGATGTTGGCGGGATTTGCTCTCCCCTGTTGGAAGGCAGAATTTGTCCCCTAGAGCGCATGAAGGCTCATATTCCTCAAGTTCAGCGTTCCTGTGAATTTCCGTATCAAGAGGAACTTGCACCGAGGCCCACATTCAAACTGAAGGACTCTCCAAGTATCTGTGTGCACACAGACTTCTGTATGTGCAAACGTGCTGCTGTCAGCCTCTTAACTGATACCGCTAAGGGATTCTTGCAAGGAATAACTTCTACCCGTGACTCATTCAAAACAGTCCTGAAGGACAAATAACTTTCCCTTTGGGATACATCAGATGAGAGCGAACGGTGTGTGTTTTCAAAGCAGTTTCCTCAACCACACAGAGAACATAAAAGGAGGAGTGAGGACACCAACCACCTGGCAGATTTCCAAAGGAGTTCAGGACCAAAACATTCATCCTTATGCTGGAATCCACGAGACTCCAAGGTTTTCCTGGTACCTGTAACGCATCAGCACCATGTTCAAGGATAAGCAGTCAGGTATCATCTGCGTTGACAAAGAGGTGGAGGAGGATAAGAATAGGTGCCAGGGCCAGTCACGCAGTATCTGAAGCAGAAGAAGGAAGGATATATTACATCTCTGCCTGCCAGTTTTGCCAGTTGCTGAGTGCTTTTGAAAATCTGTTGCCTCATTTAGCTAACGAAAGAGTGATTGAGCTGTACCAGAAATACAGACCCAGCTGTCAGAGAAAACTGAAAAATATGTCCGGGAGTAGTTTGAAAAATCAAATTCTTTTTCTCTATATAGAACGCTGGTTTATTTTAAAAGAGTTAATTAGGCTAAGTTTAGCAGTGCGTATCACCTGAAAATAGACAAGACACACTAAAACTATGTAGGTTAGCCCAAATGCACGCTGACTAAAACTTCGTGCACTTACTACCCACCACGTATAACATAGCAGAGAAAAACGTTTTGACAAAGATTGCAGAGACGTTACAGTTTTATTTGCAGATTATTCTCTTCCTTATCGCTCCACCTTGAAAGGGAAGTGCCTAATGAGAAAGAGTTCCATAGCCCAAGATTGCGAGGGTAGCTTTGGAACACTCTGAAATAGCTTCTAGCGGCAATGGCTAGAAGGGCTCCCATCTTTGAAGGGTTTTAAGACCTTCAAGAGCTCTGTGAATGTCCCAAAGAAAAGAAAGGATGGCCTGCATCTCCTTCTGTCATCATTTGTGCCCCATGCCTAGAAGGTGTGAAATAAAACTCTATAAACACAGGAGGTGTGGATGATTATTGAAAAAATGAGCAGTGGTGGGGAGCTAATGAAAGAACCCGAGGTGTTAGAATAAATGTGAGCTAAAAGGAGTAGCAGGAAATCAGAGGCTTGAGAAAAACCGAATGCTTAAACGGCTCCACAAAGTATCTCACAGAGTTCCAGTCTCAAACTGGAAGGCATGTCTATCTATAACATACTCTCTTATTTTGAAACCTTTTCATACAGTACCGTTGTGCCCTACATGGTGCACTCTCATTGTCACTTGGCATTTCAGCATACCACACACCTTCTGCTTCCCTGGGTTGCTTACTTGTACGTGATTTATTAGAAATCCCTGAAATCTATCGCATACCTACTGATCTGTGTCGAACAAGAATTTGTGAGGGTCATTCAAGTAAAAGGGAGAAATGTGCTTATTTAATTTTCTTGGCCCCACCTCCTCATCCCTGCGGGGTAGGAGAATAGTTTTCCTCTCTGCTCTTTAATTCACATTCCCAACCTCCGCTCCCCGACCCCCAGAAAAATTTCAGCCTCCTGTGTGCCCAGGGACCTCCTGCTGCTTTGGCAGCACTTCGTGGTATGTCCGTATTGCAGAGGTCAGCTGAGGATAAACTCTAATTAAAAGACATTAAATTGGGCTGCAGGGGACAGAAATTCAAAAGCTCACATCTATCATCATCTGGTACTGACCTAGCATCTGAGCTGGCTACGTGCTTAAAATAGGCATCGAAAGCAATCTTGCAAACCTTTCCTTCAGGTCTCCGTTGGCACCCTCAGAGGAAATGATTTCAAACTGCTCGGAGAGCAGCAATCCCGTTCTGGTCCTTGAAATCCTTCGAGCAACACACCCCCACACCAGCATTATTTTCTCACCTCCTCCGTATAAAAACAAAACAGAAACGTGAGAACAGTGGGCTGGAGATGGAGCTGCAGAAAGTGAAGTTGGAAGGATTAATTATGTAACACGCCCCCTCTCCCGCCCTTACCCACAGCAACACCAGTGAGGTAAACCTCATCCTCCCAGCTGACAGCTCACAACCAGAAAGTGCCCGGAGGAGTGAAAGCACGATGAGTGTGTGGGGAAGGTGGCAATGCACTCCCACAGAGGAAGATGTCATTAGGCGAATGCGAAAAGAAGTTCAAAACACCTTTAGCCCCTTCTTTTTCCAGCCGCGTCCGGATCGGGACCGTATTCCCAGAGTTCACGGCTGTCAGACGGAGCGTGGATCCTGCCGGGAAAACTTCAAGTCAAACAGAAGCCGGGAGCACACGCCCGAGAAGATCTATTAAGCGAGCAGGTTTGCTACTTAACTCGCAGGAGCGAAGCTGGAGCGGGCTGCTGGGGCTGCCCTCTGAGCACCTTGCCGAGAGTCCCTGCAAAGCCAAGTGTTGCTGATTCGAAAGAGGAGGAGGGATGGGGGAGAAAAGGGATCGTGCGTGTTGTGTGAGAGGGAGACAATGTGTGTGTGCGTACGCGTGAGTGCGTGCTCGTGTGCGAGAGGGTGTTGGCGACGGGTGGGGGGAGCTTCATGCAATGGTTTTTTCTACCAAAGACACGTGAATGCAATTCCCAGAGAAGGGCACCAAGCTCTGCCCAAGAGCAGGAGGGGTAGGGAGAGGGAAGGGAAAGGGAAGCGGGAAGGGAAGGGAAGGGAGACGAGAGGGAGGAGGGATTGCTATTCCCGAAGCCATTCACAGAAAGAGGGTGGCAAATTCTGTGACCATCTCTAAGGGAAGTTTCCTGGGACCTTGCGAGAAAGACAGACGCCCAGAGGAGGAAAATAAAGGGCTATGGTTTCCTTGTCCTGTTGCTTTGGCTCTGGCTCCCTTTGCCTCTGGAAGAGTAGCCACAGGACACAAAGATGCCCGGCTGGTCACTGCACGCCCAAGTTCAGTTTAGCTGGTGCTTCTCTCCTGTTTAGCCCGACTGCTTCCTCTGAAGGGGAGGACTCCCAGCCCGACAGCCTTTTAGTTTAACCTGGAGCGTGTGCCGCCTCTCTCTGCCCATCCCAAGAGCTCACTGGAGGTGGAGAAGAGGGGAGAAAGAGGAGGACTCCAAAGTGCCCGAGGAGCTCCCGATGCTAAGAGGCGACAAAACATTCCCGTGGACGACGCAGAAAGGACAAAGCTGATTGATTCATCGCCGGTTTCCAGATTTATTGTTTTTCCTCCCTGTCCTTTGGCGCGCAGCCGCGTTCGGAGATCTCCGAAAACACAAACCGAAGCCCCAACCTCCGAGCCCCAACCCCTTGGCTAGCTCTTATGGGAATGAAACACTCCTCCCGCTGCCTGCTCCTGAGGAGGAAAATGGCGGAGAACGCTGCCGACAGCACCGAGGTAAGGATGCGAGGAAGAGCCCGGCGCCCGAGCTCCCCCCGCCCCGAGCACAGATCC